TAAAGGTTTTTTTAAAAAGTAAGGCTTTTTACATTACATTGCAGCGCATGTGCACCACACACACCAGCAAGACCGCTGATGTGAATGAGCCCTAAAGATAAAAAATCAAGTAAACTGCTAAGTCCATGTTACATTAGCTAATGCCCCACCGACCAGTACCACGGATAACCCCCCCCCACACACACACACTTAACTAAATCACGGGGGCTCTTCTCCCTGTGGGCTTCTGTTTGGAAGTGAATTCGACACAGCTGTCTCCACTAGATTTCTGAAGGTATGCTGCGGTGTCTGACACCAATCCATCAGTAGATGTTCCTTTAAGTCCTGTAAGTTGCGCTTGGGCCTCGTTTGCTCCCTATGTGCTTCAATGAGCCTTGGCTGCCCATGACCCTGCCACTAGTTCACTGGTTTTATTTCCTTGCACCACTTTTGGTAGGTCCTGACCACTGCAGACCGGTAAAATTGCACAAGAGCTGCAGTTATAGAGTTACTCTGATCCATTTGTCTAGATATCACAATTAGACCCTTGTCACAGTTGATCAAATCCTTACTCTTGCCCATTTTTTCTGCTTCCAACACATCAACTTCAGGGACCAAATGTTGCCTAAGTAATTAGGTCATCTATATTATTGGTTATATGGCTGATCAGTGTATGATCCTAATCTCATAGTAAAGAGATTTGGGGAATTATCCAACAAAAGCGATGTTTTCCTTTAACAATTGCTGCTTTTGTGAGGTACAGTAGTAAAAAAAATGACACAAAACTTTACATAGTTCTTCTGTTAGTCATTATGCATTCTTCACATCATCCGCTCAGTACAGATCTGCTTGTGTTGAATAACAGCCAATATTTCTGCAATGTGCATAAGGGGGAAAATGACTGTCTTATGCTGCCATCTTGTGGTTGATTATAGATACTACACATGAAGAAATGAACAGATAGGAGAGCAGCTATTTGTACAAGATATAAGGATTTATTTCAAGTAAACCTGTCATGTCAAGCTACAACTGCTGACATCCATTTTATGCCAGTTGCCTGGTTGTTATGCCGTATTACTGGCTTCCATATTTTGAGTCACTGTTTTGGAACAAGTATTCAGGAAAGTCACAACAGTCAGTCAGAACATTCTGACTCTGTGTGCATACCTGATCCAGGTAAGTGGCTCAGATGCTTAAAAAAAAAAAAGTTCTGGCATTGCATTTTAAGAATTAGGGGTCAGCGAGCAACCATGTTTTTCACATGACAGGTTCGCCTTAAGGCCCCATTCACACTGAGCGACATGAAAACCGCGCGATTTTGAGCGATATTGCGCGACGAACGATATTGAGCGACTTGTCGCGCAACGTTTTCCTGTTGGGCTGTATGCAATCAGGAGCAATATCGCTCAAAATCGCTCGAAAAAAGGGTCATGTAGGAGTGACGAGCTACAAGCGATATTGAGCGACGAGATATGAACAGCTCCATTTGAAATGGATTGGAGAAGCTAAATAGAGCGATATCGCGCGGAAATATGAGCGATATCGCTGCAAAAATCGCTCTATAAATCGCTCAGTGTGAATGGGGCCTAAGGGTAAGGAAACTTTAACACAAATTTTCCTTACCGTATTGCCCCCGCCCACCCAAAAAAAATCACTATAGTTGCTTAGATCTTTTTTTCAAGGGTCACAGCATTATTTACATTCCTTTGCTGGCTTCTTGATCCAATGTATGCACAAGCACAGTTCAGGGTATTGACTTCTACAGGACTAGGAGAGAGAGAGAATTCTCTCTCAGGTCCGCTCCTCTGCTGATTGACAGAAGGCAGTGGGTGGAGCAATAGCCAGCCTGCTGTTGGCTATTTCAAATTGAAATAGCCAATAGCAGGTTTTGTTTATTTTTGCCCACTGCCCAATGTAAACATTCAGTTGGGCAGTAAGCGGCGTCGATTCCAGCGTCGATCACGTCCTCCAGCGATGTAAATTGTCTCAATCTTGCAAACCTGACACCGCCGATACCACTCAATCATGCAAAAACTCAGGTTTGCAAGATTGAGACAATTTACATCGCTGGACGACGTGATCGACGCTGGAATGACAGATGAGTCCCTGCCCGCAGACCCCACAACCACCGGGCCAGGGTTGTGAGTAAGAGGCCCTCGTCCTCATTGACATGGGGACAAGGTGCCTTTCCAGGGTGCCGCCCCTGGAAAAGCTTCCTCCCAATGTCAAGGGCATGTGGCCTGGTATGGCACGGGGGGCCAGGCTGCTACCCAGATCAAGGGTCTGGTTTGGAATTTTAGGGGGACCCCACTTGTTTGTAAATTTTTTTGGCATTGGGGTCCCCCTTAAAGTTCCTACCAGACCTAAAGTGTCTGTTATGAATAGCTAGGGGAACCCCATGCTACTTTTTTTTTTTTCATTATTATTTCTTTGGATTGTTTAACACTTTTTCTGCATTTTGTGACAGCTGTCAGATTCTTTGTTTACATTCGGAATGCGAGTCCCGAATGTAAGCAAAGAATCAGAGAGCTGTTACAGAATGTCACGCAGCTTTTCAGCTTCTTTCTTTGTTTACATTCTGCAACTTTTTGATACTTTGTTGCCATTCAGGATACCAGTCCCGAATGCCAGCAAACAGGCAGAGACAGCTGTCACAGAATGAACAGTAGAAAGGCATCATGGCACACTCACAAACTAGCATGTAAAACAACTTGTCTCACCACTAAGGACAATGACAGAGGTTTGGATACACGTCTTCTGCAAAGGATGTGTAAGCCGCACTGCCGCGCCAAGGCACCTCTTATAGTGCGGTCCTAACTCTAAACTATGAGAGTCTCCATCTTGGAGCACATGGGGCAGAAGATATCAAATTGGGTGCACACAGAATGACACACAGCTTTACCGCTTCTTCGTTCTGTTCCGAATGGCATTCGGGAAACATTTTAGATTGCATCCAAATTTCGTTATCAAACATTCGGATATGTTCAGATTCGTTCTTTCAGTCATTTGGAAATTCGGATGCATCCGAATGTCCGAATTTACAGAAAATCATATGAATGTCAATTTGAAACGAAACAAATCGCACGTGTCTAATAATAGCACACCGCTTTGGTGTCAGTGGATGCAATAAAACCCAAAGCATTGGTGTCAGTGGATGTAGTAATAACCCCCAACATTGACACCAATGGTGGAGGTTATAATTGCATCCAATTACACCAATGCTGGAAGTTATTATTGCATCCAATGACACCAATGCTGGAGGTTATAATTGCATCCACTGACACCAATGCTGGAGGTTATAATTGCATCCACTGACACCAATGCTGGAGGTTATAATTGCATCCACTGACACCAATGCTGGAGGTTATAATTGCATCCACTGACACCAGTGCTGGAGGTTATAATTGCATCTACTGACACCAATGCTGGAAGTTATTATTGCATCCACTGACACCAATGCTGGAGGTTATAATTGCATCCAGTGACACCAATGCTGGAGGTTATAATTGCATCCACTGACACCAGTGCTGGAGGTTATAATTGCATCCACTGACACCAGTGCTGGAGGTTATAATTGCATCTACTGACACCAATGCTGGAAGTTATTATTGCATCCACTGACACCAATGCTGGAAGTTATTATTGCATCCAATGACACCAATGGTGGAGGTTATAATTGCATCCAATGACACCAATGCTGGAGGTTATAATTGCATCCACTGACACCAGTGCTGGAGGTTATAATTGCACCCACTGACACCAATGCTGGAGGTTATAATTGCATCCACTGACACCAATGCTGGAGGTTATAATTGCATCCAGTGACACCAATGCTGGAGGTTATAATTGCATCCACTGACACCAGTGCTGGAGGTTATAATTGCATCTACTGACACCAATGCTGGAGGTTATAATTGCATCCACTGACACCAATGCTGGAGGTTATAATTGCATCCACTGACACCAGTGCTGGAGGTTATAATTGCATCTACTGACACCAATGCTGAAGGTCATAATTGCATCTACTGACACCAATGCTGGAGGTTATAATTGCATCCACTGACACCAGTTATGGTGACTGTTACTTCGACCAGTTGTGTAACAATAGCTGCAGCAGCCCACACAGCTGCTATTCTAGTCTAGTCTCCCTATTAGGGAAAACTAAACGGTGAAGCTTCCAGTACATTGCTATATGAGGCCCCATTCACATTTATGCGGCAAGGTGCGAAAAGACTTGTTTGCACGCATTGCTGCACTGCCCCAAAATCTGTGTCACTTTATAAGATGTACTGCAATGCCATTTGCTGTGCACCCCAATGCACCTTGCTGCCCCATGCACTTTCTCATGTGAATATGTATTCCAGAATGCTGCTGCACTCCTTACCAGGTATCCCTGTCAGCGTGGGTGAGGATGGCGCCGCCAATACTGAAACTTGTTAAAGATGTCACCAGCACACCATGTTGAAGTGAAGAACACGGCTGTTTATTGACGCTTCATGTCAAAACAAATAGCATGTGTGAAACCGCACACACGTGTGTGAGCTCGTAGTGCGAACGGGGGCTGAGAGAGCAATTTTTGCATGTACACGGACCAGACCCTACCACCTAGATGAAGCTGAGGATCATAGGAAAGAAGTATTTATTTCCTGTGCTCCTTAGCTCCATCTAGTGGCCATGTTGCAGTATTTTCCTGATATTACATTCTACCTGGAAAGAAAATATACTAAGAACATTGGTTTTTGACTCCATTCACACAGAATGAAGGTTTGCAGAGATCTGCAGGATGAATGACTCTGCAAATTGCTAACTGTTTATAAATAGACCCACAAGTCATATGTTGTTTTTTTTTCTTGTCATTTGCATTCATTCTTCAATATTTTGACCAAAACTAAAGGAGAGTGAAATCTGATTTGTAGTTATGGGGTTACTGCACTTTGCACAAGATTTTTAAACTGCATTACTTAATTAAGCTGTTTTATTTGTGTACCCTAAATGACTGCAATGTGATCTGCCTCTTTTAGATCCTTGGAACACCTAATGATGACACATGGCCGAGTGTCAGTTCTTTACCACATTTCAAGACAGGTACGTTGGATCATCTTATGTGTACTCCCATGTATGTCTTTGTGCTCTTTACACAAATGCTGAAGCTGAACTCCGGCCTTGCCTTCAGTCTTGCACAGTTGTACCGGCTCCTCTCCTGGACTGAAATGGCTTCCTCTGATTTCACTGCACAATGCGAGCTTCTCATAATGTGCATTAGAAGGGAGAAGAGTTGCTGCACGGGCTACAGCTTCTCATTCGATCCCCGCTGCTCTCCCCCACCTGTATCCGCAAGAGAACTCTGTGTCCTCAATCTCTTTTTCTATTTCAAAAGGGAAATGTCAGGGCTCTGTTTAGACCCCTAATATTTCCCCGAGCCCCCCCCAACAGTAAAAAAAAAAAACAATAATAAAAAATTACCACACACACACGCACACACTCATGCACACATATTATTAGACGTGCAAATTTTGCTATGTTGGATTTGGCCACCAGCGCATATGCGCCGCCATCCTTGAGGCGGGCCCATGACATCACATACCGCACACGTCTGTTGGGGGGCACACTTTTCTCTTGCCTCGGGCGCAAAAGGAGCTAACTACGGCTCTGCACTCCCGGCTATTTGCAGCTCTGCAACTCTGACATGGAGGGGGCGAGTTGGCCAGTGACGGGCTGTTTCAGGGGTTGTGGAATTTCTTTCACATAAACTCATGGTAAGGTTTGCAGCACTTACTGTTTCACTGAATGAGAAATGCATTTCAGTCATTTTCACAGAGACTTCATATGAACTTTAAATAAACGTTTCAATACTTTGAGTCACTGTGCCCGAACAATGATGCAGAGAACGACTTCTGACTTTTCCATGACTTCAGCAACTGAATCGTTGTTTTATGTAAGTGGCTCAAAAATTATAAGTCACATTTTCAGAGGAAGTAAAAGTGGACTTTAACCCTTTCAGCTCACACCTGTACAACCCCCGTGTGTACCGGAGCAATCTAATGATTTGGCTAAAACATTGCCATTACTTAAAGTGGAACTCTGGGGAAATGTTTGTATTAACCTTTGCAGTGGGGTTGCTCTCTCATGTATCTATAGAAGGAGCTATGCTCTCTCATGTATCTATAGAATGAGCTATGCTCTCTCATGTATCTATAAAAGGAGCTATGCTCTCTCATGTATCTATAGAAGGAGCTATGCTCTCTCATGTATCTATAGAAGGAGCTATGCTCTCTCATCCATCTATAGAAGGAGCTATGCTCTCTCATGTATCTATAGAAGGAGCTATGCTCTCTCATGTATCTATAGAAGGAGCTATGCTCTCTCATGTATCTATAGAAGGAGCTATGCTCTCTCATGTATAGTATCTATAGAAGGAGCTATGCTCTCTCATGTATCTATAGAAGGAGCTATGCTCTCTCTTGTATCTATAGAAGGAGCTATGCTCTTTCATATATCTATAGAAGGAGCTGTGTTCTCTCTTGTATCTATAGAAGGAGCTATGCTCTCTCTTGTATCTATAGAAGGAGCTAAGTTCTCTCTTGTATCTATAGAAGGAGCTAAGTTCTCTCTTGTATCTATAGAAGGAGCTAAGTTCTCTCTTGTATCTATAGAAGGAGCTAAGTTCTCTCTTGTATCTATAGAAGGAGCTATGCTCTCTCATGTATCTATAGAATGAGCTATGCTCTCTCATGTATCTATAGAATGAGCTATGCTCTCTCATGTACCTATAGAAGGAGCTAAGTTCTCTCTTGTATCTATAGAAGGAGCTATGCTCTCTCATGTATCTATAGAAGGAGCTATGCTCTCTCATCCATCTATAGAAAGAGCTATGCTCTCGTATCTATAGAAGAAGCTATGCTCTCTCTTGTATCTATAGAAGGAGCTATGCTCTCTCCATCTATAGAAGGAGCTATGCTCTCTCATGTATCCATTGAAGGAGCTATGCTCTCTCTTGTATCTATAGATGGAGCCATGGATGCCACACAGGCTGGACTTCAAACATGTCTTCCTTTGTTCATCTCCATTACATGTGGAGTGATAGAATTAGTAGTTTACACATGAAAGATAAGCTTGGTTTTGCTTCCAGGCATTTCTGACAAGGTCAACAGGTATTTTCTTGACTTGCTAAAAAATGTTCTTAGCCTTACAATGAAAACTAATGCAACCATCCCATCTAAGAACTGGTAAGCTGCAATATATGACAGCTTTGTTCTTGGGTTTACCTATTCTTCATATACTGTATGAATAAAAATGTTCTCAGTGTTGGCATTACCAATTTTGAACACTAGGTGGCAGCAGTGACACATTTTTGCATAGTGAGTGTTTATATGTTAAAGAGACTTTGCTTTTAAATGTCTTCATTGGCCTGGCCACCACTCCTTAAACAAAATACAATTAAGAAAAAATGCTTACCTAAGGGTTTTGTTGACATCACTGGGCCTTTTCGTGGGATCCTGCGAAAGTTGAGGATCCGAAAGTCATTCCAGAACTGTGCAGGAGCGCATTCTTGCGGGATCCAGGATCCTCAGGTCTCCAAGGATCCCACAGGAAATCTGATTGATGTCACCATTGTCTATGTAACCCCACCTAGGCTTGCCTGGCTGTCATGCCGGGTTTTTTTTCGTCTTCCATGCTTTGTATAGAGATAAGGGCTTTTCTGTTTGTTTTGCTTTTCTCTGCTACCTAGCAATTAGTATTTTCAAAAGAGCCAGCCCCTGCATTTCTCTTGTAGTAGGTGTTCTTTAAAGAGACCCTGTCACCAGATCATTCATTTGAAAAAAAATCTTCCCATAAGATTATGTGCACATGTTATGTAATGAATGTGTTATTTACCTGTAAAGCCTCCCTTGGATAGACATCCAAAAGCTCTAAGATTGTTCTGGGCACTACCATATTGAATATAATGTCAGCAGCCCCTGTATTCCCATTTATATACCATTCCCTCCCCTCCTCCACCAGCAGCTACATAAAAGATCATGTAGGTAGAAGAGAAGAGCTGGGCCAGAACAGGCATCAATCAGACTAACAGAAGAGAAGAGGTCTATGATGTGCAAGGATGGAGGGGGCTGCCCTAGGGACTAGTTGATTTTTCTAGAAATTTTAAAAGCAAATTGCAAGCGAGTACAAAAACACTGCAAATGAGCATTTAAAATACTTGGTTGTTCTGTGCTTTTACTTTTTACAACATTTTTTAAGTTGGCAATAGTGTCTGCATGCAGTTGATTGCCATTTCTCTTCTACAATCAATGTGTCTGTATGCGGCTATACAAGCTTTCACCAGCAGGTGGCGCTGTAGCTGCAATTTGTAATCTTAGATCTGTTTTAACAGCAACTGAGATTATTAAAAGGAAAATTGAATCCCGCATTTCTTCCAGGAGCCCATGACACGCATCTAAATCCAGCATTTCTTCGCAGCATCAACATTTAATCAAACCTTCACTAGAACACAATCTGCCTTCTGTCACTTTAGCTTTCTGCCCCCTTGTCTTGGTTTTAAAATAAAAAAAAAACCTTCATGAACTAAATATAAACCATAAAGCTTTAGAAACTATTCATCACAGGAACTGGGGGGAGATCTCCCCAATGGGGACAGAGCACAATATTGGGATCGTAGGGATTCTTATAATGGGTATCACTGAGATGTTCTTGCAATGGGCTTTACTGGGATTGTTGAGGTTCTTGTAATGGGCATCACTAAAAAGTTCTTGTAATGGGTATGACTGGGATTGTAGAGGTTCCTATAAAGGGCATTACTAGGAACGTAGAGGTTCTTGTAATGGGTATCACTGAGAGGTTCTTGTAATGGGCTTTACTGGGATTGGTGAGGTTCTTGTAATGGGCATTACAGAAAGGTTCTTGGAATGGGCACTACTGGGATCATAGAGGTTCTTCTGGGTCCTCATTGGGTGGACAAAATCTCTACTGAAAGCATAAACACTCCTGAATCCTCCATTGTGTTAACAGGCCTGAGGTTGCTAGGAGGAGGAGACCAGATGTTAGGTGCAGAAAATGCGCTTGTCGCACATTTGTAGGTGCTCACATTGAAGTCTGCGGGCCAAAAACGTGTGATTCTGCCCCGCAAAAAAGCTCATGTACTTTGTTGCACAACAAGGTATGGCATGGTGCTCAGGTGTGAACAGAACCATTGTACCTAATGGGAATCTTCATGATGAGTCTTGTCATGCACCTACACAGCACCATCTAATGGTTGAAGGGGAGAAGCACAGCCCATTGACTTTGGAAGGGTGACAAGGGATGCAGTGTTTCATATAATTGTACATCACCCGGATCTGCCAGATATGACATACAGAGGAGTAGGCAGAAGCCACACGGGCATGCTGGATTTTTTAACTTTTCTATATATATTTCTTGTTTTAATTGTTTGTCCACTTTGGGGATCTTTAAGAGTCCAGTCTAGACAGAAATAATACTTTCTAATGTTCTTTAAAAACCGTTCCCTCGTAGACCATTTAGCACAGTGAATGTTTTCCGTGCCTCTGCAGGATCCACTTACACAATCCATTTTATTTTTATATTTTTATAATGAAGTGAAACATTTACATTAAATAATCAAATTGTGTGCTCACTTCAACTTTTCAAAGCCGGTTAGCGTTCACTTGCGAGTATTTAGGGAAAGTTGAAACAGGCAGCGAGGTCCCCGCAGTGCAGCTCACTGAATGGTCTGATTCAAATGCTCTTGTGTCTTCCAGCAAACGTTCCCCTCTGGGACTTCTCGCTCAGAATTAGAGCCCTGTTCGATTTGTGCAGATTTTCCTAAATTGAGGAACGCCACAGTTGGGCCGTCAGTCAGCTTAGCTCTTGCGCACTTGTGACATATTTATTGTTTTAATAATACCAGGTGCCGTAGCTTTCCTTTCATGGCTAAAGAGCGATCAGGGACTCGCATATGGTAAAAAAATATATATATACATTTGCCTTCAAAAACAATTTTTGAAATTGAAATACATATGGGTGAATTTATCAAAACTGGAGCAGAAGAATCTGAAGCGGTTGCCCATGGCAACCAATCAGCTTCTCCCTTC